AAGTACCGGAAGACTTCACACCCCAGCAAAGAGTGTGGCCCAAGCAACTGTAAATCAATTCCTCATAGAATCACTGTTAAGGTCAACAAACATTGTAACTGTACTGATGTAACTGATTCCATTTTGTGTGTCTGACTGACGCAGGCTGCAGTTTTGACTCAGAGGGAGATGACAACAATGCAATCTGCTCAACCCTGATCAAGAATCATCCTCACTCTGCTCATGTTCCAAACATGTCTACAGTATATCAACAGGAAACAGCTGGTGTAAGTAATGAACTGTTAGGAACAGCACATAAAGTCATTATGTGACTGATATCTTGATGGCAGGTAAAAGCTGAACATAGAAAAGTAAAAAGACCTTGAGAGATAATATTTATTTTGACAATGACAAGGATGATATGATTGATCATATGCAAACCTAAAACAGGTTAGGAAAGATTTTTTTGACTGATGACCAGGCTTTTAAAAGGACACATCTGGAACAATCTGGTTGATACAAAGAATCCAGATCAGCATAGCAAAACAGATTCTTACAGTTCAGATTATACACTGCTCAAAAAAATAAAGGGAACACAAAAATAAGACATTCAACTATGTTGTGTTCCCTTTATTTTTTTGAGCAGTATATTTTCTGTTTTGAGCAAAATATATTTCTTACCACAGTTTAGGTAGGATGGTTCTCCAGGAGATCCATCTGCAGCAATAGCCCAGAAACAAGTTCTGCTTTTTATTCATTTATATTCCTCCTACAGCGGAGAATTAGCTCAAATTTGGTAAATGGCCATCATTTTTAAAATCACATTTTCTTTTCAAACGTAGGGGTACTTTTAAGGGCCTAATCCCATTCAGTGGTATATGGAGACATATTACAGGGATATCAGCCTCTGAATGCTTCAGTTCTTTATTTTGTGGTGTTGAACTGTGACTCAACAGCAATCATTCTGCCTTCTCATGCAGTCGGAGTTAATGGGCCTATTTCAATGGAGAAAATGCAGCCCATTCTCTGCAGTTAAGAGGGCGGCCCAGTGGAAAAGCACTCAGGTTAACACCCATACAAAAGGGTGGGGTGGGGGAGGGGGTCTAATTACTGATGTTTTTGTCTCTGGAAGCCTTTTTTACTGGTCAGATGTATTATATCATCAGATAATCAGCAAGGTAACATTTGTAATCATTTATTTAGACTTGCAGCATCTTGGTGCCTAGATGATTCATGTTCACACACAGCAAACAATACATGTGCACAATATATATTTTACCTATAACTGATATACAAAACAGGCTTCACTTCTTTGTTTTCATTTCTGGTCATACTGGCCTTTATATAATTCATATATCCCATGGTATTACTCTGAAGATTTTTATGTCTTTATATTAATTTTAAGGGTATATTATGTAAGCCTGTTGGGATAGTTGTAGTTGCAGCATCCACCTAATATGTTGTGAAGGGAATACCTTTTAATTTAGACACATCCACGGGCGAGCAACAATGAGGGATGCTCAGCATTTGTACACAATGTCCTCTCCTTTTTCTTTTCATCACTATTTCTGTCTAGTGTGCTGGGTGGAATAGTTTTCGAGGCAACACCAGACAGATGGATGTAGCAACGGGAGGGCGGTGATGGAGCAGCTGAACCGACAGGAAACACAGGAAACAAGCAGTTGCTTTCTAGGCTTCACCTGTGCTATAGTAACACCTACTCAGTTCCAAATAACGATAATACAATAAATGAACTTTGCTAATATTAATAAATATATATATATATTCTGGCTTCCACCTGACAAGTTAGTTTCCTGATAATTAGCTGTCGCCCTTAAGCAAGTTGCAAAATGGAGTCTGGAAGTCTCCTCATACACGTTGTTTGTTCCAGTAAAAGGGTTAGGCAACACACTGGACAACGCGTTATCACTTCAGTATTATTTTACAAAAAAAGCCACTCCAACATACACGAAGTCTGGTGTCGCTTAAAGGAAACATGCGAGCTCATAATTCAGAGCATAAACGGGAAAGTAACAAATTACGCACTCGAGACAAACATAACACTTCTGATCAGAGTTGCGCGTAATGAATATTTTGAAAGCCTAACCAGGCCAAGGCTGGCACCACCAGTCACATACATCCACTCCCGGACACCAGCATCGTCAGACTCACCGAGCTGAGCTCCTTCCTCCACCACTGGAGCCATGTCGCTGTCCCAGGTGCTGAAACGGTCCGTCTGCTTTCACACCGAGCTCCTGATGATGTCCAGGTGCAGTACCTCAGGAGTAATTCGGCTTTGATTATGTTAGATAATACAAAGGGTCTTCTAAGGCTTCAGTAACTCAAAAAGCAGTCGTGTTTTTCCCGCAGAGGAAGATGGAGGGATGCTCCGTTGTCACCCTGCTGCTGTTTCTCTGTGTTGCGTGAGTGTCTCTGAGGTGGCGACACCCCGGCTCTTCTCTCTCTCTCACCACCACTGTACACCCACTCCTCCACCTCCCTACCGGCAAGGCTGAGCTCATCAGTGCTGACGCAGTAGTGACGGAGGCTGGCTATGAAATCAGGACCTCGTTGTAGCAGCTAACAAGGTCCCAGTTCCTCTGATTGATTTTAAGAAACTGCACAATTAGTCTGTAGGCCTCCCTGTCTCTCTCTCTCTCTATCTGTGTGTGTTTGTTTGTAAGTATAGATATGTTATATGGAGATGATGTAATTATCTGAAGTTCGGGAGCAGGACCTGATCCGAAATATTCCGTTTTCACACTATTTAAACCCATTGAAACCACTTCCGGTTTTCCTTACACGCCCTCCCAATCTTTTCCCCTCTATTGTTCTATCCCTGATCTTCCAGTGCCCGAGATCAGCCTAGGCCTCCATAACCTTCCCACAAACCGTCAAGTGCATAAGCAACCATTTATACACAAGCATTCCATATCCTGCATTTCCATTTGTACTCAGTGAGGGCAGATCCCTGCTAGTGAAAGGTTACTGTGGTCCTGTCATTCATTTACTGTATGTAAGTGATAAACTGGCTGGAAGGTTTGAATGGAGTCATGCTTTCCCCTGATATATTCCTAGTAACTGAAGTAACAGGTTAGTTCATTTAAAAAGCCCACAGTATGTTGTAGCCTAAAACATACATTTTCATAAAAGGCTTACCTGTACTATTCTTCTTCTTCTAAAATATGCAACTCAATAATAATTAGACCCACAAACTATGCAGTATATTTTAGAAGTATAATCACCTTGATTGGCCAAGTATGTTACACACAAACAATTTGTTTCTGGTACAGAACTGATGGCAGCCATCTGCAGTGCCACCTCAACTGATGGCTCTAACCATCAGGGGTGTTCAGTGTCTTGCCCAGGGACACTTCGACACGTGGACTGCCGGCAACAAGATTTGATCCTTCAACCTTCTGGTTGGGAAACAACTGCTCTACCCACCACACCCCTGTTGCTTCTCCGGACACTATCGCCTCCCCATTTTGTGCACATAAAGTCACATGTAGTTATAAAATAGGTCTACTGACATGATGTAGATGACTGTATCCTGCACTATGGATTATGATAAAGAATACACATTTACATCAGGTTAGAAAAACTTTCATTGCATATTTTTCAGCAGTGTTAATACAATATACTGCACAGTATGTAGTGCATATGTGTTTGTAAGTCACTGCAGAGTCCTTGAACACAAATAAAGGACAAAAATTAGAAGAGTTTGTAAAAACCTGGACAATTCAGTGTAGCTCAGTGGTCCCCAACCCCCGGGCCGCGGACCGGTACCGGTCCGCGGCCCGGGGGTTGGGGACCACTGGTGTAGCTCATTCAGGTCAACAGAATAAAAGACCAATGCCTGTTCTGCACTGTCAACAGCTTTCACATTTAATACAATCCAATAATGACCCCTTGACCCCTTGAACGACTACAGGCCAGTGACACTCACCCCAATTATTATGAAGTGTTTTGAGAGAGTGCTGCTGGCCCACATTCAGAGCAGTATACCAGACACCCTGGACCCCCTGCAGTATGCCTACCAGCCCAACAGGGCCACCACAGACGCCATCACGGCTGCCCTCCACTATTCCCTATCTCACCTGGAAAATAGAGATTCCTACATCAGGATACTCTTAATTGACTAACGCTCCACCTTCAACACAGTTGTCCCCCACAAACTCACCCACAAACTGTCCACACTAGGTCT